ATGATTACAAATATGCAATTAAAGACAGGCTCAGATGAATAAACATACATGGATACATCACAGTGATGGATAAATGTACATAGGCTCTTGGGAAAGAAGGAAAAGAATATAGAGTTATAAAAGAAATAGTTAAAAAAAATAAAACAAATTCTTTAAAGAGACAGAGTAAGGACAGTAATAGATTAAAGGAGTGCAATTAATAAAATAAATAATAAAATGTAATAGGGTAAATAAAATGAGCCTCATCAGGATCGAAAACATACAGAGAGTCTTAATTATGTATATTACTATGTTTTTCTTTAATTCTTTTGACTGTGAATGAGGTAAGGACAGAGAAACACTTCATCATGTGGGTTGCTAAGCTAAACCAATGTATATATTTTAATGGCATTTTGGCTTCAAAATTTGGGCCTAAGCATATTTTGCTTTGGAGAAGTGGTTCTGCTTTTGTTTCCTTAGAGGATAAAAAGCTGTGCCTTCCTTACCAGCTTATATGGCTTGATCAAACAAGACCCACTGAAGCAAAGGCCCAGCTGGACCAATATTCATGACAACTACAGACTGCTGGCTGAGGTAAAACTATCACACAAGATACCCCATGAAAGACCCGATTGACAATGTCCTCAAAAAGCAGGAAGTACTCAAGAGAACAAGGCCTACATTCCCTAAATGAATGCTTGTGAAGTGTTTTTACAGTTAAAGGGAATATGCTACAGAGATGAATACTTTGCATCGTTGTGGATTTTGGTTTATGCATAAACCTTGAAGGTCAATTTTGTTATATGTATATTCTCGCTACAGATTTGGGTATTGCAGGTATTTGTGCAGGTCATTTAAAACTGTAAAGCATAATTAATAAATACTGGTTTATAAATTGTCGTCTATAACAGTCAAGCTTGTAGTCATGTTAGTTAGGTTTTCTAGATATACAGAGATATATTTCACATCGATAGATACTTCAAACTTTTCAAAGACCTGCAGAATATGGCATTTAAGTGTAAAAGCTTAGAATTTTCTCAACAGTGACACATGTCTGCTGCTGGCAGCAAGAATCACGTCAGAGAAGTTGATAGTCATCGAAGAAACTTGTTATGGAATTTGCATTAAATGTGAAAAGTCTAGCCAATCGAGCAAGAAACTGTACTTGCCTGGATTTCCTGAAGGTATGCTGTATAAACTGGACTTGTGAAACCCACAGAAAAAATGACTGCTCAATTCTCTAAAAGATGGGATGGTCCTGCAGGGATCCTGCTTCACAGAGCAAACTTCCAGACATTGTGTAGGACACAGAAGAAAGTGAATGATAAAGTGCCAATATAAGCAAAAGAGTCTCTTAAATTTCCTGCTTCTTGGAAAAGTCAGCCTGACAGTGTGGTCCTCCAGGCTAAAGATGGATGGTTCAACACTACAGAAGAACTTTGGGTGACTTTCCAGGCAGCAAAATGTCTCTGTCAATTCTAGAGTTTTGGAAGTTGCTTACAATGCACTTCCTGCTTACTTAGGTAATATTATATACTTCTGGGGTCTTTGATGAAGTTAAAGACAGTTATACTTTTCTTTAGTTATGATAGAGATAAATTAGATATGAAGGTTTAGACTCACAAAGAAATATTGTAACTGTAATTCTTGCTTGATACCTGTTTTGTTATATGTGATTTTACTATGTTAGACTTAAAAACCTTCGTTTGTATTTAGACAGGAAGGGGAAATGATGTGACATCCCCTCAGTATACGGTGAGTATATTTTATTACTGTTGGTTAATAAAGAATCTGCTTTGGCCTATGGCAAGGCTGAATAGAGATCAGTGGGGAAAAGTAAACTGAAAGCAGGGAGGAAGAAGAAGACAGAGTCTGGCAGACAGCGTGTAGCTACTGCAGGAAAAAGACACCAGAATCTTACCAGTGAACCACGAGCCTCATGGTAAAACGTAAAATAATAGAAATGGGTTAATTTTAGATGTAAAAGCTAGCTAGTAATATGCCTGAATGGGTGACCAAACAATGTTGTAATTAATATAGTTTTTGTGTGATTATTCGGGTCTGGGTGACCAGGAAAGCAAGCAATGAATCTGGTTGTATATGAGTGTATATTTATTTAGGAGAATGGGTAGATCATGAAACTAGAATGGAGATCATGGAAAAGGAAGAGATCTTATGGACACTGGGAAATAGAGATGGTGGTGGAATGCACTGAAATAAAAATCAGAAACTGAAACTAACTGGGGAGAGAGAGGGAACTGACGGTGGGGAAGGGGATCCATGGGATGGCCATGGAGGAGAAAGAAGGCTACTGTTCTGTGTAGGGAGGTGCTATAATCAAACCCTTACTTTTTGTGTTAGCATAGGGATGTGACTATGCAGTTTCCGTGAGCAAATAGTTCGTGCTTGCATTCACTTTTGATTTTTGTTATTTCTACAGGTCGTAGAGTAATTGAGTTACATAATAAGAAAATGCACAGGCCACAGCTGACGTCCACTCAATATAAAAGTAAAGCTTTAAAGACCTGTGATAACCACAGCAGATAGGGTGGACTTGGTAAAGGGGCATGATGTTTTTTTTTTCTTGATCTTGATATTTACTTTATGCTTTATTTCTTTATTATGTATGCAGTGTTCTGGCAGGTGTGTTTGAAAGCCAGAACAGGGCACCCAGTCTCATTACAGATGTTTTTGTCCCATCATATGGTTGCCACAGAAATTAAACTTGGGACCTCTGGAAGATCAGCCAGGGGTCTTAAACTCTCTTCAGCCCATGATGCTTGAGGCCCCAAAAGACTCAAACCAGCAGCCTATTTCACCCCATAAAATTGCTCAAAACAGAAAAGTCAACTCAGATTAAAAGGAAGTGGGGAGACAAAGTTCTGAACAAGAGAAAGATTGGCAAAAACTAGCCAAAGTTGTTTCTAGGGTGGCCCCTCAATATAATTTACGAATCATTAGACAAAGTCCAGCTAGACTGAGCCGAAGAAAGGCGCACATAAGCAAAAGTAGAGACTGAAGGGCAAGAGGTCCTAAGTCTGTAGAAATAAAAGAATTTTAAACATCTGCCAACGAATGTGCTCTAATGCATGGGCTACCCATCTGCACTAACCATTAGTAAAGTGAGCTGAAGCCCTATTTAGATGACACTAAATTCTGAGTGAGGAGACACACTGAACAACCTTCCATATTGTGAATTACATCCGCCAAGTCATTGAAGAAGATCCTACATCACCAAAGAAGAGAGGCTTCTTGCTCCAACCTGTTTGGATACAGGTTACAGAATCAATTTCTACACAGATGTCTGGGTTTTCAGAAAGAGAATAAACTATGGATACAAAAGTATTATGTTTGGAATCTGAAATGAGTTCCACAGGCTCTCATATTTCATGCTGTGGATCCTGGGGTAGGGCTGTTAGCAGGTCTGGAGCCCAGGACTGTGAATTCCCTGCCTCGTGTCCTCTAACTCTGTTTGCTTCTTCTCTTTCGTCTCCCAGATGATCTTCTGCTTGGATGGACCCCACTGCTACTGCCACCTGCCACCTCTGGAAAGTGACCTGCAGTTCTCTGACTCTGGGACAAAGCAGACCTTCCTCTCTCATGCTGTTTTAACAGGTGTTTGGGTCACCACACATAAGTCACTAATGTCAGTGTGGTGTGGACACAGACAGAGCTTTCAGAGGAACCGGGCCTTGACCACTGCCTCTGGTTTTCTGTAGGATTCCAACACTGACCTAACATGTGCTTTATTTTCTGCCCCTGGGATGCCATGCCTGCATTTCTCCTCCCCTGGTGGGAAAGCCATCAATACAGAAATTCCACAGGGGCTTTAAACAAGAGTCCAGTCAGGTGTCTACCTGAGTTTTTTCTCTGTGGCTGTGACAAAATGTTCTGCAAAGCCATGTAACGCCGCCAGGGCTTCTCTCAGGTCACAGTGAAAGGTTGTACTGCCCTCTATTGGGGAGGTCACAGCAGTAGAGGACTGAGAGAGTTGGTCCTATTTCAAACACAGTCAGGAAGCAGAGATGGGTAGAAAGCATTCAAGTTCAACTACCCTTACCCACTTTATGCAGTTCAGAATCCTCTGTCTTGGGAGGAGGGACCTGCTTGCCATTAACATGATCTCTTGATGTCAGTGATATAATGAGATAAAATCAAGTAATCAAGATAATCTCTCACAGGGATTCTCAGCGGCTCATCTCACATTCGGCTCTAAATTCTGTCAGACTATCAGAACATCTATACCATGAATGGTCAGCAGAGTGGTTAGACAAAGCAGTAGTCAAGAGCTGCACATCCTGGCCACATTCAAATGAGAGCAAGGACGAACAGTGTCTTGGGGTTTTAAATAAAAGCACTCAAACAGGTTTTGGTTTGTTTTATTTTGATTTTTGGAGAGATGATCTATAATCAATGTTTTAGTTTTCAATCACATAGTATAAATTTCTAGTATGCTCATATTGGCTAATGATTGATATGAAATAGAAGTCATTATTTCCATGGGCCATGAGGATCATGTTAATTCATCTATTTTTTTTTTTAACCAGGCTACTCCTAGATGGAGCTTCATTAATGGTCCAGGTCCCTGCCTCTTTTGCTCGTCTTGTGTGGGGCTCCCACCTCTTAAGGAGGTGAGTTTGTCTACACAGTGTTGGTCACCAGATGCCCTCAAACAAAGTGACAAAGCAGACCCGGCTCTGAGAATGCAGAACTGTGTGGAGACTTACACAGGGGTAAAGGATCCAGGAGTCATTAGAACATAAAATCACAAATCCAATCAATATTTTCATGTGTGCTTTACACACTATGGAAACAAGGTTTCCTCACACATTTGTACAATGTTGTTGACTCTTCTTTTTCTACTACTCCAGCATAATTGAGTACTTGCAACAGTGATCTTCTGGTTCCCTTAGAGGAAAAGGATGAACATTCTGGCACTCTACAGGCAAGGTTTGTTATTCTGGAAAGGTCATGTGTCAGTGTCCAAAACGAGGCCAGAAGTAAATACTGATTGGACCTTGTGCCTCATTTTTCCATCATTCCCAGAATTCCGGGGGCTTAGATATATATGGTCCCACCTTCTTTTCAAAAAGATCTTCTTTATTAAGAAGAGCTATGGCATCATTTGCTGCAGTATCAATAAAGAGATTCTGCAGATAGTAAGACTTCTTGTAGTAATAAACAGCACCACCTAGTCCACCAATAATACCCAAGGAAACACGTTCAATATAATTCTGTAGTTTTTTTAGTAAGGACACATCATCATCTTCTGCAAACAAACGGGGAAACGAAAGGTGTTCCTTCAGTTCATTCACAGATATATTAAAATCTTTAGCAATCTTTTGCAATGAGGCATCATCCAGTCCAAAGTAAGACCTGAATTGATTGAATGTTTCATCCAGATCCTCTAACTCATCCCTGATCATGCCAACAAATGGAATGGTGGCCCATGCTCCACTCTTCAGGGCCTCTAGAAAGACCTTCTGCTTTAGGAAATCTCTCTTGAGGTTAATGGCCTCCTTGGTAACACTGTTCAAAGATAGCATGAAGACATAGCGTTTTTTGTCTGGGAGGTCCTTTAGGAGTTTTTGTTCCAGAATTGGGAAGTCATACTCAGACGTTTCAAAGTTAGAGACTAAGAAGATTTGAGGCTCACCTGAGAGAACCTCCTTGAGTTGCTGTGAACAGTCTTTCCGGATTTTCTTTAGGACATTCTCCTTATTGAATGTCTTGGGTTTACTTTTCTTTTCATTATATAATTCATTATCTATCTTTGTTCGGACAAAGTAGAAATTCATTTTCATCCTTGAGATGGCTTTGGCTAGCTGGGCATCATTTTCTTTGAAGCGTGAAGCTGAGATGATAATGAAGAAGTCATACTCATGAAACCTCATTTCTTTTAGGTAGTTTTCTGGTGTGAAAGAAGAGGACCCAATGCCAGGCAGGTCCCATAGTGTCACCTGGGGAAGCTTTGGATGTGGGTATGGAGTTCTCGCCATGGTTGTCTCTGTCACCCCGGTGGGGGCTGCACCTTCATCTTCCTGTCCGACCCCTCTTATGGCATTGATGAACGTGGACTTCCCTGTCCCTGTCTCCCCTGTCACAGCAATGTTCAGGGGGGCATTCTCGATGTCTTTCAGTGCATTGTTGATTACAGAAAGTGCTTCCTGGAGGTTATTGCTCTTGATGTGGGTTTTAATCAAGGTGATGGTTTCCTCAGAGAGGATTTGGCTTTCCCTCTTAAAATTATTAAAGAATGCATTAATGCTGGAGGCCCAAGCCATGGCTCTGTATGTAGAAGCTGAATGAAGCAGAGAGGAGAGAAATCGTAATCATTAATAAAGCAGGGCAACATCTTGTTGTAGGCTGGTTCAGTAAAGCAGGACCCTATACCTTGTCCCACATCAGAGCCAGAATTGCCTTTCTTCTCTCCTCTTGGTCGCTGCTTTCACTCCTGACCTGGTTATAAAGAGGCATCTTCCTCACACTTCACTTCCTCCTAGGAATTTCCTTGCACTTCTTGGTCTAATTCAGACTCCACTTACTCTGTGATGTTACCCATTGCAACCTTTATTATCAGTTTGGTGTCTCCTTTCCATTCCGTTCTTTTCATTAAAATGACACCCATACATGGTGTCAACCCTAGAAGGACATGCCGGAAGGAACGTTTCTCCTGACAGGGTCCTCAACCTTATGTGAACCCTTTCGTAATTTGACTGTAGGTCCTCAAGGCCCCAGGTTCTTTGCATGGTTATTATTTATTTTCCCACATTCTTGTTGCTTTAGTGGCCACCTTTGAAGACCCTCGGTCTTCTTCTTCCCTTCTACCACTTCTACTCTCTTCCCTGTTCTGTCATCTCCCCAGGACCTTAGAGATCACAGCATCTCACAGTTGAGATTTGAAAGTGAAAAGTAAGTCAAACTAGCTGCCCCTGTCTCGGAATTGCTTTTAAAATGCATGCATGTGGAGGTCAGAGTGATGCAGTCGAGGGGTCTAGGAATGGGCTTGTTCTGTGCGTTTGTTTCTGTCAAGCATTAAAATTTAAGAGATGAGTCCTAGTGGAGCCACCATGGGACACCTGGGAAGTGAGGGTTCCCTCTTCAGCCTTCCTAGTCTTGCTAATAAAACAATACAAGAATGAACTCAAACAGAAGATTGAGTTGAAAAGGAACACCTTAGGACAAGAAGATGTAAATCTCATGCTGTCTGGAAGGGAGGAGAACACCAAGGAGAGGGAACAAGAGCTATGCTGCAGCACAGAGGTCACCCACTGAGCACTGGGCAGCAGGCGGCCACAAGGTGAGGGAGTAGCATAGGAAAAGGAATATGGAAGCCCACACTGTTAGTCATGGAGGCTAGAAGCATACTCAGGCTCTGACCAGCATCTGAAAGGGAAAGACAGAGGCAGAAGGAATAGGTAAATTTCTGAGTTGGGCCTCAGTAAGGTGGGACTATGCAGGTGAGTTCTCTCTTTCCATCTTTATGTGGTTTCCGGGGGTAAACCCAACACATGGTTATTTTATAATGAAGACTTGACACAAGACAAGGAACAGATGAGACTGAATTGAAAAGAGATGTTCAAATAACCGTTATTTCCCTTTCTTCTCATAGAAGAGGAGGGACACGGCCTCCATGAAAGTCACACTACTCAGAGAGATACCCTGCCTCCTGGTGTTCAGATGCTCAGTGCTATGCGTCACTGTCTTCAGTTCTCCCGGGTGTTTAGGTCAGAAATCAAAACAACTAAGAATCTCAGCTTCCACACCAGGAACTGAGAGGGACATCCTGGGAGAATTCTGACAAGCATCTTTCATAATGCTGACAGATTTGTAAGGTCCTAACATTTCTCTAAATCACACTTACTCAGAGACTCCAGAAAACACCGGGATTAACTTGGGGAAAGAGTAACATTTACAGAAAACGTCTACATTGAGAATCTTATTATTTCATATTTACCTAAAGTTATATACGTAAACATATGCATATTTATATCTTTTAAATGAAGTTATGCAACATGCCTGATAATTCCTCCCATCTGAGTCATAAAGTAACAGAAACTTCATTGTCAGACATGAGAAACTTCTCTTGAGTTGTGGGTCAGGAGAGTCCAGGATACTCCTCAAACAGCACAGACTCCTGCTGTTGCCCTTGCTTGAGCACCAGAAGTTGAAGGGCGCTGTCCTGAAGACACAGCACACTTCAGATAAAGGACACATAGAAATCAAGCTGGATCTGAACCAAAGTCTCCTCCTCAAGACCCAGCTTCCCTAACATCAGAAGGGGCTATGAGAGTTTCCAAGGGAGGAGAATGTTCCATATTCCTGCCCAGATAGGACTTCCGTGAGCCACAGTGATGATCATCACACTGAGGTAACTAAAGGTGCAGGGGTGGCATTTATGTATTGGTGGTGATCCACACCTGTCTAAATGTGCATCAGGCTGGCTGAACAAGAAGGAAATCGTGCATGGTAACTGAGAATCTAACCAACCACCTGCTGTTAGTGAGGTCACAGATCTCAGAGGAGAACCCACTATGGCCACTTTCCTATCCCAGAATATTTCTGTTTTCCAAACACTTTTCTTTACTCACAGGTACACGGAGCTCTCTCTAACCACCAAAGATGCTTCTTTTCACAGCAGTGAGAGATCACTTCAGAAAGCACAACTGGTCACAAAGCAGAGAACAGCTGACTTTGCGGTGCCCAGCCTCACTTGATGGCATAAGCCTTAACCTAAGAGAGAGAAAACACTGAGGAGGAGGGTGCAGAAGACACAAGGATAGGAAGACCACACAGTCCAATGCAAGACTGAGTCTTCTGGATATGACCAAGATACACATGAAACCTCAACATTATGGCCTTTTACACAAGACCTGAACACTGATACCAACAGTTGATGTGCCAAAGTGGGTGTGGGAAATTGTGTGGGTTGTCACACTTAGATGAAGAGTCACAAGTATAAAAAGTTGCAGAAGGACAGAAGTAGTCTCACCCAAAAATGAACTCCCTAGTTGATAATTCAATCCCAAATGTTCAACCCTAATTTCTGTCTGTCTATCTGTCTGTCTATTATCTATCTATCTATCTATCTATCTATCTATCTATCTATCTATCATCTCTCTGTATATCTATCTATACAAGCTGTACTAACAGCAACAAGTGGAGTTTATGTATTTATTTGTTAAGAGATATGTCATAGTAATGAAGAGTTAGAGAGCATACATCTGAAAGGAAATAGGAGGTATGGAAGGGACTGCAGGGAGGAGAGGGAGAAGGATTCTCTTATATTTTGATAAACTAAAGGACCCTTGCTTCATAGTAAACATTTAAATTAAACAAAATTAAAATTAAAAAAGGAAGAAAGACTACTGTCAGATGCAAGGGCATTGAGGGGACCATCCTCCAAAGAATGTAATTCACTGCATCTATCTAAGGACACTGCAGTGATGTCCCTAAGCCAGCCAGGGTTACATTGTAGGACATTGTCTTCAAACATTGATCAGAGCCTGCCTGACCAGCTGCCTGCTTCATGAGATTAACACTTACATACTAGTGCTGGTGGCTGTCAACCTTCCTGCATATCCACTACCTATCCCATGAGGTGATTCCCTATGCCTCAGAGACTTCAGGTCCCCCAGCTCCAGTGCCTGCCTGGCCTCTTGGCCACCCAGTGCCTGACCTGTCAGAGTTACCAGCTGTCTACCCACCTACTCACCCAGGGAGGTCAGAATTCCTTCCTTTGAGCCCTAGACATCCAAGTTCACCTGACCCCTATTGACCACCCCATGTATCAGAGCCTTCAAAGCCCACCAACTGCTTCCCATTATAAAAGAAGTAAGGAGGTAAATATATACAAAAGAAAATCTAACCAGTGATCAAAGAATACATGAACACAAAAACTTGGTTATCTGAAAACCTAAGACAGCTCGTCTTCTCAAAAAAAAAAAAAACAAAACAAAACAAAAACAAAACACTCCAGAGTAATGGTCTTCATGAGAATGACTTAGATAAAGTTTCAGATGAAGAATTCACAAGGATGATGTAAATGTAATCAAAGAAAGAAGATTCAAGCAATCATTTGAATTACAGACAAGTCAACACAGGGCATGAAAATGAAATTCAATAATGAGAAATACTGAGCAAAATCTTGACTTAAATGAAGCTGGAGATGAAAATGCATTAAAGCAAATGCTCAGAGCAAAGACTCACGATCAGATGATAATGGAGGAGGGAATGTCAGCAGTGAGGACAATGTAGAGGAATGGGAAGACTTGGTCAGGAATGACCATAAAAATAAAAATAAAAAACAACTGTATGGGCAGCCTATGTGTGACCTTTGCAACACCATGAAACACATCCACAGAGAAGGAGAAGAACTCCATTCCAATGGCATAAAAAATATTCTCGATGAACCCTAGCAAGAATGTCTCCAAATTTAGGGAGAGGAATGCACATCCAGACAGATACAAAGGTTTGTAGAGCTCCAGATATACAGAGCAGGAAAAGAAACTCCTGAAGTCATATCACAGTTAAACCCAAGTGGTCTGCAAACTGCAAGAGAGAAACAACAGAAAGTGTAAAGATGGAGCCATCAGAGTAACAACTGACTGACAGCAGATTCCTGAAAGCCAGGGGGTCAACTGCTCTTCCAGACACTGTGGATGGTTGTTTCTCATCTGGGATTTTATCTCCATGATGAACAGTAAAGACTCCAAGAGCATCTGGGTATCCCAGCCTGCTGTCTTCCTCCAAGCTCAACTTCTTCAGAAGATCATCTAGGTCCACACAAGCAGGTGGAAGGAAGGGCTGCTGCTTCTCTGCTTTGGGATGCTTTTGGCACAGAAGATGACACAGAAGGATGCTACTGTGCCTGCTCCCTGAGTGAAATCCCCAAGTTCTCCTGCCCTGGAGTCAGTGCTCCCCCTTTCACATTATCACACACGTAGGGCTATTGGCCAAGCTGAACTTAGAACCCTTCACTCACCTCAGCAGTGGTGACCTTGATCTGAGGGCAGTGGCGCCTCTGGGAACGTTCTCCTCTTAGGAGAAGTCTGTGCACTGCAGCAAGGGCAGTTGCCTTGGAATGCTCTAGAACTGGAATTCAGACTCAGGATGTTCAGGAAGAAATGAGGTGAAGTTTAGAGTTCTGAGTCCTAGGAAGAACTGCCTGAAGAGAGAAAGACCACTTGGAGTGGACAGACTGATCTTGACTTTCACTGTTCCTTTATCGCTGTTGGTCCACAAATAGCCCTTGCTATCTACATTTTCTGGGCAGATATGAGCTCTGCTTATATAAACCACACAACAGGGAGAGGCTGCAGTCCAAATCGGTTTCAGTTTCTATTCCTAGAAATGACTGGTTTGCATGAAACAACTGGGAGATCCTTTAGAGAAGGTGGCAGATGGGTCATAATGATTGAGGTTGTCTAACTAAGTCTGTGGCGTGGCAACGATAGCACAGTTCCGGGTCTGTAGTAGAGATCCGCGTCTGACCCTCTGGCTTCCCCACTGGGGACTGCTGACTCATGTGTGGGTACCTATCCCGAGGTAAACAATGCTTCTGTTGTGGGTCCTGAGTCAGTAACAGATTTACCAGTCAGACTTAAATTTTGGTTATTGCAAATTAGAGACTTTTAAGTAAAAAGAAATCTGCCAGGAAGAAACCAGAGAGAGTTCTCTAGGTAAGGCTCTGGCTATTGTTAGCAAAAGGATTACAAAGGAAAAAACCCACGGAGTTACAATTTTGGGAAGCTAAATTAAACCATAACGTGTCCGGGTGTGGGCTAAGCTTGATCCTGTAACAGACATCCTGCAGATGCTTCAACCATCCACACAAGCATGCATCTCATACAAAAGCTGAGCAGTTAGCCTGTTTAATCTGTGACCCATTACCTTGTAGGAATAGCTGAGGAATTGAGATGTCAAATAGCCTATTCTTTTTTCTTTTCCTAAGAGAATAACCCAACTGTTCCAAGAAGTGTTCCCTCTGGGGCCAGCTGAAAGGATGCATTCAAGGTAGAAGCAACTTCCTCATGGCTTTAACAAGCTGAAAACACTTTGTTTTTACATGATTAACACAGAAAATTTATCCTCTAAACACAATGTTCACCATCACAATTTGATGCTGGTGAGTCCTGGCGGTTAGATAGCTACAGACCCTCACAATGGCCTTGCCCACTGAGGTCTTGCCCATTGTGTTTGTTGTCTACTTGCTTGCTTGCCATAGCCTCACCTACTAAAGTCTTAAAACAAGAAAACGGTGCAATGAAGAATTTTTGTTCAGAACTCTGGCCTTGTAACATTTGTTTGAATGTAGAAGTGTGTCTGATGCAGGTGATGGGGGAGATCACAGTCTCCTCACAGCCTGGAGTCAGCTGAGCAGACAGCAAACTTCTGACTGCAATCAGAGACTAGGTGTTCTGGCCTTGCCATGGAAGCACCAACAATCAAGTGATATTCCCACAGGGAATGCAGGAGGATTTTCCCAGCAAAAGGTGATGTGGGGAGCGTGGACCAGGAGCCATGTTCCTTTCAGATGGTTAGAACCTATTGACAGAGACAGCTGCAGAGTTTTCCTTCTCTCTCTACACTGGGGCTCATCTCTCCAGGCTCCCCAGAGGCTCTCTTCAGCCTCTGCTCTCCCCAGTCTCTGCTCTCTCTGGCTTCTCCTCTCTTTGATACTTTCTTCAAGAAGGGCACTCTGTGCAGCTTTTGGCAACTGTGCTCTGGGCTGCAGTGAACAGCAGACTCAGTGCTCTCTGCTTTTGTGGAAACTTTGGCCCTGGTTATTTACAGCAGAAACTCTTTGGGGCTGGTGAGTGAGAAAAGCCTTTGTCTTGACAGTGACCTGGGTGTCAGCTCTGTGGGCAGAGGGCAGAGCTGGCTTGGCTAAGCAACAAGTCATGTCATCATCTTTACACAGAAGGAAGTCGTGGGTCTGGAGCTGTTGTTTGGTGCTGGTGGAGCTGTGGAGTTGTGGAAAACTTTGGACCGAGCAGAATAGTTATGGGTGACTCTCCCGGAATCCATGAAGTTCTCACTGTAAAACGGCTGCCTGTTCTGAGTCTAGTGTTCCACTGCCAGGCAGCTATTGTCACAACTCTGTGAGGTTTCTATAGTTAGCAAAACTCTATGTACTGTTTCAAGGTCGGCACCTGTTTGCTGAGGTCTGACGATGTCCGCCCTGCTCTGCAAGAGGACGTCTTTTCCATTTTCACACTCAGAGAACACACCTGAGAGCAAACGTGTCTGTTGTTTAAGATGCTCACAGACCTCTCTCGTTCTAGCACTCACCTTGTATCATTAGTAATCACAGATAAAACAATTCTTCTTCCTGTTTCTGCTCTCTCTCCCTGCTCTTCCTCCTCCTGGCTTTTGTCCTCCCATTCTTTCTCTTTGTGTCCTCCTCCTTCTTTGTGCTGGGATTGAAACTTGGGCTTCCCACACACGAGGTAAGAGCCCTTCTGCTTAGCTACATTCCCAGCCTTTTATTTTTTATATCTTTAATGTGATTATTCATGTCTGGGTGACTGGAAAACAAAGCACAGACTCTGACTACATAATGATGCCCAATGTTCAGCAATGTACAAACACATAAAGCCTAAGAAAACTTTTTTTTTTTTAAAAAAAGTCGTCCTATCCTATCAGTAGAACTATGAAACACAGCCTGCTACTACAGAGAGGACCAAGAGGTGAGTGACTACCCACCCACCTGGATGGGCACTCTACTCTTTAGGCCCTCCATTCTGGGGCAAAATCCCTGGCCCCTCCTCCACATGCCTCAGTTTCTCTAGTCAGTCAGCAGGTGAGTGTTCTGCAGGTAGGCTGCTCCGACAACCACATCCCATTCATCAAACTCTGCAAGCTACAAGTCCCACTCTGCTCCAAAACATCCTATTCCCCCTTGCCCTGTAACCTCAGGGGGATGCTGAAACACAAGCTGAAACTACACAGAGAAGACCAAGAGACAGGACCAAGAAAAGAACTCTGAAACAAAAGTGTGACTGCACAGAGTGGACCAAGAGAGCAAAACAAGAGAGCAGGTCAAGACAGCAGGCCAAGAGAGACCTCAGTGTCTCCCTGAGATACAGAAAGTGACAGTACAGAGCAGACCAAGAACAGTTCCCAAAGACACAGACAGCCAGTGCAAGAATTAGAACAAATGGTGGCGCACGCCTTTAATCCCAGCACTCGGGAGGCAGAGGCAGGCGGATCTTTGTGAGTTCGAGACCAGCCTGGTCTACAAGAGCTAGTTCCAGGACAGGCTCCAAAACCACAGAGAAACCCTGTCTCGAAAAACCAAAAAAAAAAAAAAAGAATTAGAACAAGAGGCAAAGACACTCCCATTACCAGTTGGAAGATGAGATGGGTAGGCACCAAGGCAAGAATTCATTCAACAATCTAAATTCAACGTGGTAGCACCATAACCCAGTAGTTATACAACAGGAAGAATTGATCATCCTAACCCAGAAGAAGCAGAAGAAAACTATTTAAATATAACTTTATGAGGATGATGGAGACCTTGAAAAAGGAAACGAAAATTCTCTTAAAGAAATGGAGAAAATGACAAACAAGAAATTGGAAGAAATTAAATCTCTCAATGAAACCCCTGAAACCCAAGAAGAAAGAATCAAACAAGTAAAGCAAACAGTTCAAGAACTGAAGACTGAAACAGAGGCATTAGAGAAAACACAAACTAAGGCAATTCTGGATATGGAAAATCTGGGTAAATGAATGGAAACTATGGAAGCAAATAGAAGCAAAAGAATTCAAGAGATAGAAGCTAGAATCTGAGGTTTAGAAGATTGTAACAAGGAGGGGTCCACTTGTTCATCGTGGCTGCCCAGCTAGCTTAGCCCTGAAATAACCACATAGAAAATGTATTATTTAATCACTGCTTGGTCCATTAGTTTTAGTTTCTTATTGGCTAATTCTTACATCTTAATTTAACCCTTTTCTATTAATCTGAATACCACCACGAGGTCATGGCCTACCAAAAAATTTTCGGCACATCTACCTCCAGCAGTGGATCCATGGCATCCCTTGACTCTTCTTTCTTCCTCCCAGAATTCAGTTCTGTCTTCTCCACCTACCTAAGTTCTGTTCTTTGAGCTAGGCCAAGGCAGTTTCTTTATTCATTAACCAATGAAAGCAACACACAAACAGAAGGACCTCCTATACCAGAACATCCTACAGAGAAAATAGTTTTATTGGTCAAAAAAAACCCATTAAATCCAAAAAATTATTAACACAAAACAGAAAATCTGGGACACCATGAAAGAACCAATCCTAAGAATAATAAGATAGAAGAAGAAGAACCCCTGCTCAAAGGCATAGAAAATATATTCAACAAAATCATAGAAGAAAACTTTCACAACCTAAAGAAGGATATACCATTGAAGGTTTATGTTATGAAAGAAGCTTTCTTAACACCAAATAGATTGGACCAAAAAAAAGTGCTCTCATCATATAATAATCAAAATGTAAAGCATACTGAATGAAGAAAAAATATTAAGAGATTCAAATAAAAAGGGTCAATTAACATATAAAGACAAACCCATCAGAATTACATCTGACTTTTCTATGAAATCCAGAAGATTCTGTATAGATGTGCAGTAGACACTAAGAGACCAAGGGTACAAACCCAGACTACTATACCCAGCTTTCAATCACCATTAATGGAGAAAACAAGTTATTCCATGGAAGAACCAGATTTAAACAACACCTATCCACAAATCCAGCCCCATGAAGTTACTAGAAGGAAAATGCCAACCCAAGAAAGCTAGCTGCACCCACAAAAGTGCAGGCAACAGATAATCCCCCACCAGCAAACCCCAAAGAAGGGAAACACACAAACACTACCTCTGAAAAATAACAGGAATTAACAATCACTAGTCATTAATATCTCTTAATATCAATGGACTCAATTTACCTATAAAAAGACCCAGACTAAGAGAATGGATATGAAAGTAGGATCCATCCTTCTGCTGTGTATAAGAAACAAACCTCAAACTCAAAGACAAACATTATCTCAGAGCAAATGATTGGGAAAAGGTTTTCCAATCAAATGAACCTAAGAAACAAGCAAGTGTATTATCTAACATGCTAATATCTAGCAAATAAGACTTCAAACTAAAATCAGTCAGAAGAACAATCCATCACAGGAACAATCCATCAAGATGAAGTCTCAGTCCTGAACATCTATGTCCCAAGTACAGGAGCACCCACATCTGCAAAAGAAGCGTTACTA